CAGAGCCCTCTCCTTGTTTTACATTAAATGTTATTTTAGGACCTAAATATTACAAAGCCTCTGCCTTCTTAGATTTAGGAGCCTCGGCATGTTTCTTAGATGAAGAATTTACTAAAAGACATAGCATATCTTTAATAAAGAAAACTAAACCTGTTCATATAGAAGTCATAGATAGTCGTCCATTGTCTTCTAGAGATATTACTCATGAAACCCTTCCTATAGAAGTAATAATAAATGGTCATAATAGCTTTGTAGTATTTAATATCATTAGATCTCCCTCTAATTCAGTCATTTTAGATTTATCGTGGTTAAAAAAATACAACCCCTCAAATAGATTGGATTTCTTGAACTCTTACTTTTTCTAAAAGTATAATTAACAGTGTAGTTAATCAAATAGAGAGTCATAAGTCCAATTCAATTAAACCCGTATTTATAGGTACAAAAGTTTTTTTGCATGCTGCTAAGAAAGAATCACCATATATTATTTATGCCACACCTGTTGCTACTGGTGGAAAGACTTCAAGTGGCATTCCAAGCCAATATCAAGAATTTTAAGATGTATTCAAAAAAAGAATGCGAATACACTCTCGGAACATCATCCCTATGATTGCTCAATTGACCTTCAAGAAGGAGCACAACTGCCATTTGGACCAATCTATAGTTTATCACAAAATGAGTTAATTAAACTCAAGGAGTATATTGAAGAAAACCTAATCAAGAATTTCATACGCCATTCTTAATCTCCGGTAGGAGCTCCAATTCTATTTGTAAAGAAAAAAGATTGATCATTGCGGATGTGTGTTGATTATTAAGGACTCAATAAGATTACCATCAAAAACAAGTATCCACTACCTTTAATATCTTGACTTCTTGATCAGCTGAATCAAGCTAAGATCTATACAAAAATAGATCTCAAGGAAGCATACAATCTAGTACGCATCAAAAAAAGAGATGAATGGAAGATTGCGTTTTGAACTAGATATGGACATTTTGAATACAACGTCATGCCTTTTGGACTTACAAATGCACCAGCAGCTTTTCAACATCTAATGAATGATATTTTTTGAGAGTTTTTGGACGATTTTGTGGTCTGTTATCTAGACGACATCTTGATCTATTCTAAGAATCGAGAAGAATATGAACTTCATGTTCGTCATATGTTACAAAAATTAAGAGATACAAGACTCTATGCCAAGATAGAAAAGTGTGTATTCTACACTACTCTAGTCGATTGCTTAGGTTACATCATTTCAAATGATGGACTTATGATGGATCCTAAGAAAGTTCAAACTATTATAGATTGGAAGATCCCAAAAACGATAAGAGATGTCCAATACTTTTTGAGATTTGCCAACTACTATCGGATCTTCATCAAAGACTTCTCTCAAGTTGTAGCTCTACTTACATATTTGACTTGTAAAGACAAACTCCAACGGAATCAAGAAGCGGAAGTTGCTTTTGAATCTTTGAAGATAGCATTTGTTTCTGCACCAATCTTGTATCATGTTGATTTTTTCAAAACATTCTTTATAGAAACAGATGCATCAGACTTTGCTCTAGATGCAATTTTATCACAAATGGGAGCAGATGATAAACTTCATCCAATAGCCTTTCATTCAAGAAAATTCTTAGCAGCAGAAATCAATTATGAGATCCATGACAAAGAACTTCTTGTAATTATGGATTCTTTTCAAGAATGGCATCATTATTTAGAAGGCGCTTCCAATCCGATCACCGTATATATGGATCACAAGAACCTCAAGTATTTTATGTCAACATACATATTAAATCATCGTTAAGCTTGTTGGAGCATGTCTTTATTAAGATTCGAATTCATCATCACTTATCGGCCATGAAAACAACAAGGTTTGTCCACATCCTTGTCTAGACGTTCTTATCTTGCACCAAAAGAAAAAGATGCAGATTTTGAGCAATAAAGAATGATTTTCTTGAAGCTGGAGTAATTTCAACTTTGAGCAATAAAATCAACATTGATTGTTGATTTAACTTTTCTTAAGCAAGTCTAGTTAAGTATGTCTTCAGATCCTCTTGTTCATGATATCAAGAATAATTCTTATAAATCTCATGATCCCTCTAAATTTGAATTCAAGAACAACCTATTCTATTTCAAAGGACGCTTATATGTTCCAGAAGGAGAAGCACGTTTACGTATTCTTCAAGCTCGTCACAACTTCCTAGCAGCAGGATATTTTGGATACAATAAGATTTTGGAGTTGATATCTAAGGATTTTTGGTGGCCTCAAATGTGGAAGGCAGTCAAAGATTTTGTACAATCATGTGATGTTTGTTCAAGATCAAAAACTCCTCGTCATCGACCTTTTGGACTTCTTCAACCATTATCCATTCCAAAACAACCATGGTCTTCTGTTTCTATGGACTTTATCACAAATCTTCCAATCTCAAGTTCTTATGACTCTATATTCGTGATAGTAGATCGTTTTACCAAGATGGCACATTTTGTACCATGTACAAAATCTATCACAGGTGAAGAAACAGCTAAGCTCTTTCTTGAGAATATATATCACTATCATGGATTATCTAAGGATATTATATCAGATAGGGCAACTTAATTTGTATCAAGATTTTGGCGGACTCTTTTCAAGATTCTAAAAGTATATATAAAACTATCTTTGGCATTCCATTCTCAAACTGATGGACGAATGGAGTGTGTTAATCAATTTTTGGAATAATATTTAAGATGTATTATTAACTACCAACAAGATGATTAGACAACTCTTTTGTCATTGGCAGAGTTTGCCTATAATAACATGGTACATTCTTCTACAAAAAAAATACCTTTCTTTAAAAATTATGGTTATCATCCATGACTTGATACTTTTGACTTTTCAAACATTGATAATCCTGCTGCAAAAGATTTGAAGATTCATTTGTCAGAGCTATATGCAACGATGAAGGCGCAGTTAAAAGAAGCTCAAGAATAACAAAAGGTCAATGCGGATGTCTATCGAAAGGAACAACCACCATTCTTCTTGAGTGAGAAGGTATAGCTACTTCATCGCAATATCAAGACCACTCATCCTTGTGACAAGTTGGACTATCGAAGATTTGGACCATTTTCTATTTTTACACAAATCAATCTAGTTGCATATTATTTACATCTACCGGAGTCAATGAAAATCCATCCAATATTCCACGTGTCTCTTCTTGAACCATACAAGATAGTGGACATACCAAGAAGACGACAAGCTCCATCTCCTCCTATAGAAGTGGACAATAATAAAGAGTTTGAAATAGAAGAAGTCTTAGATTCAAGGCGGCGCCAAAATAAATTGGAATATCTTGTCCATTGGCACGGATATGATATTAGTGAACGCACATGGGAGCCAATAAAGAATCTTGCAAATGCAACAAAGGCGGTGGAGACTTTTCATCGACAACATCCATCAAAATCAAGATGAAAATCTTCTTTATAAAATAAACAACATCTATGCAAGATAACATTTTACTTTCAATCCTAGTTCGTAGCTTCTTTGTAGTTGTGATGCTCAAGAGATGGAGAACCAACAACCAGCAGATTCGACTCAAGAGCCTTCATTTGCTGACCTGCCTGATGAGACATTACGATTGTCACAACCTTCAAGACAACGTAATTGAGATGAAGATCTTTAAGAACGACATATTCTTCTTCAAATAGATGGCGAGATACAACGCGTTTGGTATCAGGATTTGGGAAGGGACTCCAGATGTTTGGTGATTTTGCTAGAGATAGGAACAACTCCTAATGGTGTTCCAAATGTTCTATTCGAAGGAAGTTATGAAAGCCTCAACAATGATCAAATAATTGGGTGGTCTTTTCGCCCTGATATGAGACACTACCGATGGTTGAGAGGCCCTATCAATCATTTTCAAAGAGAACAAAGATCAGAGTATGTGGTAAATACAATTTGTTACATCATAGATTTCTTCAACATATGATGACCGCTCCTCGTGAAACTCATCCCTAGAAGGGGGGGTAAAATTCACGGACATACTCATGTAAGCTAGTTATTACATATACAAATAGGTAGAGGTAAGTAAAAATAAGTAAAAGTAAGTTAATTCTATAGTATTTAATATGGAAGCTTCTTAGAAGCTTTATTGACGTTGCTTTGACCTCATAGGTGTCTTTAATTGACTTTTTGGATTAGAAACAAGGTCAATAAATTGGCCATGTGCCACACATGTTGTTAGCTTGAAGATCAAGCTAACTATGTGGCCCACACATAGAATAACTTGTCTTGTAAGTCAAGGCATGTATCCTACAAAGTCAATACATATTGAAGGTCTTATAGAACGTGACCACGTAGCCCCTAGTTAGATAGTATATATAGAGACAAGAATGAAGCCTTCTTCACTCTCGTCAGCTCTTTTTTTGCTTTTAACCTAGTTTCTAGGGTCTTTAGTTTTCTTGTCTTTTAGCAATAACCATTCTAGTTCCTCTTTCAATATACATACTTGTTTATTTATATTTTGTTACCTTTTTTTGAGTGAAGGCTCACTTATTTGAATTGTTTTTTTATCGAGTTCTTGTCCTTGACACTTATCTCCAAAATAAATATTACATTATTTTTTTTCTTTATTTAATTAACAAAATTTTAAAATTATAATTTGATATTTTTTTACAAAAGTCATGATTTCATGCATGATTTTACAAATATGGTTTTGCAAAAAAATAAGCAAAGGCTTGTAAATCATAAAATATATCTTTCAAAACATAATTTAATGATAAATATTGCCTACAATTGTGGTTCTCTTATATAATAAAATTCTTGTGGTTTAAGCTTATGTAAACTTATTGTCTCAATTCTCCAAAAAACTTGTTGATTGAGCTGCCACTTAGTAACTTTGTACAAATACTTAAGAAAAAAAGATTTTATACTTTTTTTTTCAAAATTTGTCAATTTCAAAAAATTAAAATTTAAAGCATCATTACAAAAAGTATAATGATATACAAAATTGAAACAAGGAGAATTCATGAATCATATCAAAGAAGGATTAAAACAAGCAAGAATTACACCCAATAGTTAATATAGAAAAGACTTTTCATTGGTCTCTACTAATCACCGTATTTGTCACCTCTCTAATGTTTCTTCCAAGACACAATAACTCAAAATAGAGCTGGTTCCCGAAGCCTTGCAACACGATGTTGTTGCAAACAAGCAAGAGCATTCAACAACAGCAGGACTTCATCAAGAGGTGACGAAACCATGCACAGCCGACTCAAATGCACACTAGCCAGCAAAACCGATGAAACAGTGAAAAGTATCACCCTTGAACCGCTGCTGGGGACCGAGCCCGGGTCACCTGCGTGACAGGCGGGAATACTTACCACCACTATAGTACAACGACCGGTTCAAACCGATTAAAGGTATACTGCACAAGCTAAATCTTTGAAATTTACAATATATAAATAGAAAGAAACTGATGACCACATCTACAGAGCCATTCCTAATCTCAAATGGGGGACTGACCTGTGCGACGGTGGCTCTGGCATCAAACCCGAACTTTCAGCGTCGCGTTTGATGCCTGATGTTGAGTTTTGTGCAAAAATAAAGACACCAGCACCCGAATTACCACTCCCACATTGAATTATTTCTACTCTGCTTGGAACCCATACACGCATACCCCTCGAGTAGCTTACATGTCGAGGCATTAACATGTCGAGAAAGCAAAAAGAACGCATTCGAGAAGCCACTGGATCTATATGAACTATCCTTGAAGTAATTCAATCGCCACGGTGCTGTCTGGCGGTAACATTTTAGGGTTGGCAAGGAAAGGAAAATAGCACCTTAGCAGCTGAAAGCGCAAACCCACCCTCGTGGTGCAGTTAACGAAGCTCAAATGCTATCAGAAAAGACTTCCTAGCAGCAGCGGGCAAACGGAACTACATCAGATCGTATCTCCCTCGATGATTCTGATTTCGAGCTCATCCGCCCGCATCCTTGTCGCTGGAAACTCCTCCACTATATCCACCACTTTAGTCGCCGAACCTCCCATCCAAGCTCTTACACGTGAACATTTCGCCTATCTGTTTCTGTGAAACCTGTGACCTACTCTAATACATTTGGCATACCCCGACCATATCAAGAAAAAAAGAAAAGAAAATGTAAAGCCTGTGTTTCATTGTTAGGCTTCACAAGTGGCAATGAATGTGACTTGTGTTTTATCTATTGAAAACATTTCATCACCTTCATCCACCGCTGTTTGAATGCTCGAAGCTCCTTAACTATCATAGAAGTGCGTGCAGCCCGCTCTCCAGTTGCCGTTTGAATATTTTTGAGAGGTTTCAGGTTTGTGGGGGCGTCACATCCCACGAGCACTTCGTAGACAATTTGTTGAGCATGTTTACTTGAGTGTGTGAGAGCTTTTTCATTTTGATGTCGAGGTTTTGTGAAGCGACCGCTGCCGGAGTGTGGGAGTTTTGAGTTGATAGAGTGATGGATGGTAGTGTGGGGAATGGAGGTGGTGTTCATTTCCTGGTGTTGGCAGCAGATGAGTGTGAAAGAACGGAGGATCTATTTCTTTTTGGATTGACGAGTTTCGGTGTGACGGTCTGCGGCTGTTGAGCGGGCGGCGAGATTCTTGTGTAGGTTTACAGTAACAGCTCCGGTGACTGTGGTCCATGATGGGGGATATCGGAGTGCAAATGAGGTACAGTGTAGTTACATGCGAGCAGATTGTCGTTTAAGAAGAATCTTGGGTTGGTGGTAATTTTTTCAAGCGTGGCGAAATGGGAAGTTTGGGGCAAGGACAAGTAGGAGGAGGATTTGGCGTGTACCAGCATGAAGCAATTTCGTCTGCCTTGTCCGCCATGTCCCTGAGGCCGTCGCGGCGAGACATTATCGTGATAGTCTCGCTGTCAGTTCTCTCGGCGTCGCTTCTTGCGGTCCTAACATCCAGGTGCATACTTGAAAGCATACTTTGATTATTAAGGTTCGTAGAGACGTTGGTTTTTAGGGCCTGCTACCCAAATGCCAGGTGTGTAATCCTGGTGTGTAGGACGTGATTATGGTTTTGGGTCTGGATTGGATCTGAGCACGTACTGGTGAGTACACCTGCTCTATGCTTTATACTGGTATTCAGTGCTTGTAGACAAAAGAAGTGCTCCCAATTGAAGTTAGTTTAGTCAAAGAACTCATCGAAGATTGGCTGGAGGAGATCACAACTGAACACCGCTTCGTGTTATTAGACAGTGCGCATTAATCTTTTATCAGTCATCTTCAGTTTTCAGCGCATATTGAGTGGATAGTTACATGTGGATGACTTCGTTACACTCCTCTCGAATTTCTGCTCTCTGGTTTGTAGTCAAGTTTTGTAAGCAGGGGAATGTACCAACATTGCGGCCTTACCCGTTCTACCTTTCTCGATTTTCCACTAATCTGATTACTTCTCTGTTAAGTTGTCGTAAATTTAGTTGTGCTACTGTAATTTGAAGCTGATGCATTTCTCTACGTTCTTAATGAATAACTCTCACGTAGCGATTAGAGTTATTCATTAAGAACTTGTGATTTTAAGATTTTTAACTGTTGAATCTTATTGTATGAAGTCGATCGAGATGAGCTTTTCAAATCGTGCATTATACTTCGTGCCCTCTCTAAATCCTACTCTAAAGCAATGAACAGGGTTTCCTTCTGGTTTTTTTTAACCCTCAGTAGGGTTTTTGATACGGTTTGGTCCATGGACACTTGCCTAGCGTTCGCTTAATAGGCTCATGATTGAACATGTTGGCATTGCAGGAGTGAGGTCGCAACTGCCGCATTTGCAGCAGTTGGTGTATCCGGAGAGATTTCCAGTGAGAATTTTTTCCCCACACTTCCGGTTGTTGCTTTGGTTAGTGGCTTGTTCAAATTTAGGAAAACGATTAATATAGACACTCTCTCATTGTTTGCATAAACACATAGAGTGGGTTGGGAAACTTGAGGCAAGGACATGCTCACTAAGGCATTTTGGGCACAACTTTATGTAATATGTATTGTGTAATCCTTCAAGTAACACTCTTGCATTTTTTATAAAATTTCTGACTAATATCTACTTTGGATGCAGTCATTGTGGTGCGAACATCACAAGCAGTTCTCACAATATTCTTTGCCCTAACCTTGAGTGCTCTTCATAAAGCAATTTCTCTTCAAGCTGCAGCTGATGCAAGTATGGCGAAAGCTGCCAGTGTGAAAAATGCAGCGGATGCGTCTTCGAATTTGACTCTTACAAAGCATCAGCAGGCCTTGCTTGGCTTGTCAGGGCTCGGACGCAAGAGTAACGTGCTTGACAAAGGCGTAGACTTAGCTAATGAACTGAAGGGTATAGGGGACGTGCGGCTGCGACCAACCAGGATGAATGCATCACCATCACAGCCTTCAGCTTCGCCGTCGCGTTCTTTGATGGTCCCATTACATCCAACGCAGAATAAAGGAAACAAGGGGGCATCAGCTTCTGATGCAGGGTTTCTTTCTTTGTTGGCTGGTCCTGTCTCATCTGTGTCTCCATCTAGTGCACTGACCAACCCTAAACCTTCCTATTTTTCTCAGGTAATACTCTACTCAAGACCTTTTCACTTTAAGTAAATGTGTTGTATTTTACATGGTTTTGGACCAAGTATGACGAGGATGTACGACTAGGTTGTTGGTAGGAGGATCTTCTCGCACTACTTGAAGAGAGTGAGAATGCCTATTGTAGTTTTAGATTATTAATTTTGAAATTATTATTACTGCCCAAAACTAGTTTTTCTACCCCGTCCTGATTCGAGTATGTTTCACAGGGTTCACCATATTCAAAACCTGCATATCTATCAAATCCAGTAGGGAGCCCACATGAGCTTCGTCCAACTCCTTGGTCTCGGCAAAAGAGCTTCAATCTAAAAGATGACTTCCAAAGTGAGGAGAAGTTGCAAAAATTCTTATCAGATACAGACACTAAAATGGCAGAAGGTGCTGGAATGACTGCCCTAGCTGACCAAGTCTGCATGACTCCACCTCCCACCATCCGTGGAGTTGCTAGCAACTTAACTACTCCAAGCCCTGTAAACGTACCTGTTTGCTTGAGCAGCCCTCGAGGGACTCCAGTTCGGGCGTTGCGTATGTCCCCCACTCAGAAAGGAGTTACGCCTCCTAAGAAGGGAGAGAAGGGAGAGAATGAATTGCCCAGTCCTATGTCTCTAGAGGAGGTAACAGAAAGACTCAGCCTTTTGGGGGTCCTCCCTTGCATTGATCAATGGAGAGATGCACTGCGCCAGTGGTTTTCAGAGGTTCTGCTGAGTCCTCTGGTCTACAAGATCGATTCGAGTCATCTACAGGTGTGCTCTGCTTCGTTGTTGCTGTCTGTTTATTCCTTTTCTTCTGATTATGATGAGTCTAGGCCCATCTTCATGTGAGTCTTTGTGGTACACATCTGAACAAGATGTCGTGTTTCATGTTGTAACAATCAGAGAATTGGGCAAGCCAGGGTTTTAGGTCTGCCTTTTGTACCACTTTCTATTTGATATGTAGGCTTCTTGCACATAGAAATGCGAAGCGATAAGCATCATCAAATTTGATGATGTTTTCTTCATCTCAGCATTGATTATACTACCGTGTCTATAATATTTTGTACGCTGAAAAAATTCATTAGGTAAGTGGCAGGTCAGTGCTATTAATTTAGAAGCGCCTTGCCGAGAAACAGTATTGTGCAAGTGAGGTATGTCAATTTGCATCCACATTCAGTCTCACTCTCTTGCAATTTGTGCCCATTTCTTGTATCACAGCTTGTTCATCGTGATCATATTGCAGGTGATGGCAGCAGCAGCAAAGCTAGGCCAAACTTTGACTGTTTCTCCAGTTGGTGGTAAATTAAGACCTGCTTCTGGTGATGGAGTGGCATCTGAGTGGCTTTCTGCAGCAACAGACGATGAGGCTATGCTGCATCAACTTCGTGCTGCTCTCTTGCAGGCTCGTGAAGCCACTCCTGGTGAGTTTCCTTAGTTATCTAGGTTGTCGTCATAACCACCTTAAAGAAGGTCGTCAATCTTCTGGAATAGCATCTTTTTTAAAATAATTCTGAAGTCAATGCTCGAAATTAGTGTTGATCGTTGTGATGTCTATTTGAGGCATTGTAAGATTCAAGGATATTGCTCATCCTTCTTTAATAGTGTTTATAGTCTCTTGATAGAGCTTCCTTACATTGTTTTCTTGCCAGAAATGGTTCAACGAGCACTTGATGAACTTCAGCTTTCTCAACTGGCTGATTTTTATATCGAGTTTGTTGCACCTTGCAGCTCCGCAGCCAGGGCTTTTCGGTCTTCAATCTTCAGGCAAGGAGCGTATCGTGAATCCATTGGTTCAGGAATGTCTGGATGCAGTTACTGAGCATCAGCGCCTTCGTTTACTCATGAAAGGAGAATGGTTCAAAGGACTTCTTCCTTTGAGCAATGTGAGTCCTAACGCCATTGTTCAAAGAATTAGAGGTAAGTCCATTCTTGGGTATCGCTTTCTAAGATTCAGTCGAGCTGTAAACCATGGTACTGTGCTGTGCTATGAGCAGATTTTAATCGTTCTTCAGAACCATGTAATACATCTTTTGTCTTCCAAGCAGATGTGACATAACTGGGTTTGGATATACGTTTGTAAGGATGTATTTCCTGCATCATAGATTGGATGCAAACTTGAGGAATCTTTCAACTTACTATTCATTGACTGAAGCACCTCTTCTAAGGTCTTTTTAAATACCTATGGTCTTTCCTTTGAAATGCAGAACTCTCTGAAGGCTCATGTGTGAAAAGGTACGACTTCATGGGCAGTGGCAGCAAGAAACCCAACGCTGAGCTCCCTTCTGATCCCCATCTTCTTCTCTATCTTTTCTGCGCCTTGTTGGAACATCCACAGTGGATGTTACACGTGGACCCGTATGGCCATTCCAGCATGCAGACAGGAACGAACCCACTTTTTCTGAACTCTCTTCCTGGAAACGAAAGATATTCTGAGAAGCATGTTGCGGTGTTGCCGAATGCTCCGGAAGCAATACCTGGAGGGGCGTGTGTCTTGGCTGTTGGCAAGCAAATCCCTCCAGTATTTGCCCTCTACTGGGACAAAAAGCTGCAGTTTTCTATGCAGGTGAGACTTGATTGACAGCTTCCTGTTTCTAACGTCTTGCACTTTAATTGAAACATTGTCAAGTCATTACCTTGGTCGTAACAGGTCTTGCCTTTTAATTTGTATACAGGGGCGTACAGCACTATGGGACGCAGTTTTGCTGCTGTGTCATCGAATCCAGATAGCTCATGGTGGCGTGGTTCGAGGAATAAGCTTAGGATCGCCAGCATACAACCTTTTGTCCGTTTTGGAGCCCACAGCACTTCGCAGTCCTCTTCCGTAGTCGAGTTTATGCCAACGGCTTCCAGTGCTCTCAATGCATCACTGTTCATTTTTTTGCAGAGTTTTCTTTCCAATGGTGATGGGCGCACAACAAAGAAATCTTCAGCTCAAAAAGTGGTGTGTACTATACTTGTCAGCTTAATCGAGCTCTACTGTTCAAAATTCTCATCTCTTGTAATTATTTTGTTCAATGTGAACAATAACTTTCTATTCTCAATCTATATATATATATATATATATATATATATATTCCAAAATAAGAGTGCAGCATTCTCAAACGAGATTTTCAGCAGAATCTGGGATTGTGAATTTTACAAAAGACCGATTTGATAACTGACCGATTTCACAGCATTTGAATTCGAGTGACAACTCTCCAAGTTTGTTGATCCACCCCGCCACCTCAAATTCCTCGATCTTGATGAATCAACACCGAAGACGTTGATATTTTATCCAATCAATCTAGCTGAACCTATGTTATCCTAAATGGTCGCTTAGTCCCTACACCTTTTTCCGTATGGCCAGCAGAAGTATAGGCTCATAATAATACAATGTGCAAAGAATTTTGTATAAGCACTTGAGCATTGAGTTGGTTTGTATTCCTAATTGTTTTGTGTTCAATATCAGGTAAATCCTAATATTTCTATTAGTTCCAAGCTTTAAAAAGTTTGAATTGAATGTTGAAAGTTAGCCTTTGGTACTTAACAAAAAGATATCCATATTTTACATTGGACTTGTAATACTTCTATAGAGATTTCTAATATATCAAAAATTATGAAAGTTTTTCTAAAAGTAAATATGTAAAACAATAATAATTTATTTAGATAATTCAAAAAAGTTTCAAACACTTTTAAAAATATGTCTTTAAAAATATAAATATATGATTATAAAAAATAAAAATAAAAAAAAAAAAAACCACAATGTATTTGGATAGTAGAAGTATATCATTAATAATAGCAACTAAAAAGAAAAAGACAACAAGGAAGTCTATTTGTTAGGGATGTAAATGATACCTATAATTACCTAAATAAAAAGAGCTAAGTAGAAATAACTAAAAGTAGATAAATTTGATAATATCTTATGAAGAAGCTTCTTAGAAGTTATATAGATGTATGTTTTGATTTTATACATATTTGTATGTAATTGGTAGACTGAAAACTTGGCCAACAAGTTGGCTACTTATTGCATATGTTGGCTATGTAGCATGTATATAGAAACTTATCTTGCAAACTAGATACATATTCTTTAAATTGGACACATGTCAAAAATCTCAATTATCCGAGACCATAACCTATAAAAACCCTCATATTCTTCAATATAACCACTTGATTGATATAAAATTTCTTGCACACATTTATAACAAGCACAACAACAAACTATCCAATTTTTATTTCTATACATTCTACGAAACTCACAAAATCCTAAAATTTGTGAACTTGTTTTTATTTCTCAAAATCCACACCTACCAAATACATTATTAACTTTGAAAATCCCTCAAAATTTCAATATTAATCCAAATGACAAGAAACAAACTTTTAAAAATATCTTCTAAAGTTTGCTCTAAAATCCCACTCTCCAATTTACAAAAGAATCTTAGAATTGCTTTAGGTAAGGAGTTTTGTGCCTTAGGGCCTGATTTCAACCCAAGTTAACAATTAGTTCTCTCTAAGTATCAAATTTTAGTAATTTGAGATAAGTTTTCTTTTTACCTATTTTTTATTCTCTCTTTAACATGTCTATTTAATTTTTTATCCTATTTATTTTGTTTTGGCTCATTTATGCCTCTACAAAGTAAATAGAAGTTCCTTCTACAAAAGGTAATATTAAGACTAAAATTTTTACTATCTTTTTATAATTTATCATTATATTTTTACTACAAATTTTTAGTAGACTATTCTATAATAACATCCATGTTTTTATTTTTTACTATATAGTCGTATTATCATACAAAAATGGCCATATTTTTAAAAAGTAATTAAAAAATAATTACAAAAATAAAACTCCTATCTTTACAATAATTAGCTACCATATGTACTACTGAATTCTAAAATCTTATTTGTATCATAGATTGGAATAATAAAAAATTTATTAATTAATTTTAATATGGATTATAAAATAATATTAAAGATTTATTTTTAGTAATTTTAAAAATAGATTCATTAAAAGAATTTATTGCTTGAGCTATTGCATGCAATAATTGATGTTTTGAAAGATGTCAAGAATGAAGATTTGAGTGGAGAAGAACAATTCAAGATATGACAATTATTCATAATTTTTTGAAAACTTATTTATCAAAGTCTAAACGTGTATAATATAATATAATATATTTTAAACTTCTTACTAAAGAAAAAAGACTTGATGTTGTTAAGAACAATTGTGCTTATATTGTAGAGTATCTAAGCACAAAACTCAATATTATCCAAAGAAGCAACACAATTACAAAACAAAGAGAATAATTGCTAAAGAAGACAATGTATTAAAAAACAAGTTTGTTCTTCTATAATATAAATTATACAATTGGAATCTTGTCCAACATCTATTAAAGGTATTTTTTTTTTTTTTTTTGATCTTTTGAACTATTTAATAATAAATATTTATTTAGGATAAAAATGAAAAAACATCTCTTTTATTAGATTTAGATGTTACAAATATAGATATTTATATAAATAAAAAGTATTAGGTAGAAGGTAAATAAACTTTTTGGAAGTTTCATAGATCTGTATTTGACTTTAGACATGTTTATAGTTGATTGACTAGTTAGAAACATAGCCATCAAATTAGCCAATAATTACATATGTTAATAGCTTATGGAATAAGTTAACTTAGTGGCACACAAATAAGAAGCTTATCTTTAAGTTAGACATGTATTGGAAGACCTATAGAATGTCACCACATAGCTCTTAGTTAAATAATATATATGGAGGTAAGAATGAAGCCTTCTTTCTTCTTTTCAATGCCTTTCTTGCTCTTAGTCGTCTCAAGAGTCTATATTCTTCTTATCTTTAGTCTTAGCCATTCTTATCACAATATTGTAATATTTTTTGGACAAATATTTATTCTTCTTGAGTTACATAAGATTTTTTTAAGATTCTTATTATTTTTAATCCATGTCCTTGATAATTTGACAAGAATAAAAAAATTATTTTTCATATTTTATATTTTAGAAGTAAATGGATTACCTAATTTTTATTATTATATTTGAAGATTGTAAACTATCTACCTTTAAATTAATATTTTTTATTTTTTAAATCTTAATTTTTTTCTTCAAGAGAGTGGATTATCCTTCTTTGTAGAAATTTTTATATGGCATTAAAGGTTACAAATTACTCTCTTTTAATTTAATTTGTGGATTTATTAAGTTATTTTAAATAGAAGAAAAAATCATGGATAATATATTTGGTAGAAGTAAGAATAGATTTGCAACTGTCGCAAATCTTCACAAACTTCTTAACACTCTCAAGGTGGAAATTTCATGCATCACCAATAACAACTATAAAAGTACTATTCCTACACCTATAGAAGAAATCCAGAATCTATCCCAAGAATTTATGCACTTAAAGCAAATAAATTGACTTCACAACTAAATTTAGGAAATATTACTATTATAAGTACAAAAAAATAAGGATTAGTATACTTAAGTAGTTTGATGGAATAAGATCAAAATTTCAAGGATTTTTACAATAAATCAAGTTCTGTCTAAAATTGCATCCATTCTAATACCTTGATGGATTTACTTAAGTTGGGTTTATATGTATAATTTTGGCTGGAAGTGTTCTCTTTTGGTTAAATTCCAAAACCTTGCTTGCAAAGTGGATTAGATTGAAAAAAAATTTATCAATCAATTTTGATATGGATTTAAAAAAAAAAAAAAAAAAAAATCAAAGATTTATTACTTATAATATCAAATGCAAATTCTTTAGAATAATTCATTTTTCAAGCCATTATTTTTTAGCCATTATATGTGACAATCAACTATTTAAAAGGTGTCAAGAATAAAGATTTGGATGGAAAAGAACAAATCAAGTAATGATGGTAGTTCCTAAGTTTTTAAAAATCAAGTAGTTCCTAAGTTTTTAAAAATTTATTAATTGAGATTGGAACTAATGCAAATTGATATGATATGTTTTAAACCTCTTACTAAGCAAAAAAAAATATGACATCATGAAGAGGATTTGTGCTTATATTGTGGAGAAGCTAAGCATACTACTTAACATTATTCAAAGAAGCAATGCAATCACAAAATGAAGAGTACAATTGTAAACAAGAGAATGTATTGAAGCAAATTTCTCCAACTATAATAGTGATCATGCAGTTGGAATCATGTACAACACCAAGTAAAAGTCCTATTCTTTTCTTAGATCCTTCACCTTGTTTTATAATAGATATGTATTTAGGAACTAAATATCACAAAATCTTTATTTTTTTAGATTAAAGAGCTTTATCTTCTTTTATAGACAAAAGCTTTGTCAAAAAAATAAGAAATACCTATAGTCAATAAAATTAAATCCGTATATATAGAAGTCATAGATGGTCGTTTATTATCTTTTAGAGATATTATTTATGCGACTATTCTTTTGGATGTAGCAATTAAAGATTATAAAAGCATAGTAATATTTAATGTGATAAGATCTCCTTTTAACTTAGTTATTTTAAGATTATTGTAATTAAAAAAATATAATTCTTAGATAGATTGAATTTCTTATAATTTTAATTTTCTTATGATTTAATCCAAAAAAAATTTAGTCAAGTAAAAATACATAAGTTTAATATATCCAAACCTTATTAGTAGGTATGAAAAATTTTATGCATGCAGTAAAAAATAAGTTACTTATTATTATATATACCACTCTTATTTTTGATGGTGAAAAGATATCAAGTATTATTCTTAATTAGTATGAAGATTTCTAAGATGTTTTTAAAAAAAATAGTGTAAATATTCTTCTAAAGCATTAATTCTATGATTTTTTAATTAATCTTCAAGAATAAATTCAATTGCCATTTGGACCAATCTATAGCTTATTGCAAAATGAGTTGCTTTCAATAAAGGAATATATTGATAAGAACTTACCTAAAAACTTCATACACCATTCAAAATCTCTAATAAGAATTCTTATCTTATTTGTGAAGAAAAAAACTAGATCTTTGGAGATATGCATAGATTATTAAGGACTTAACAAGTTCACTATTAAAAATAGGTATTTCTTACTTTTGATTTTAGGA